TTGTCACATCATGTTTCCCACCGCGGCTTTCTTGGTAAATTTGCAAACTCGCTGCAGCAAAAAGCTTAACAAAAACAACAAGTGGTTTGTAGGAAGCCAGCAAGTAATTCACTACACCATTGAGTTAATTTTGTATCATTCATTACTTCAGATTTGCTTGCAACTTTTCGAGTCGAAAAGCTGTGGCATACGCAATCTATCTACTATTAATCTGCGTACGTCTTATCTAGTTTGTAGAGCAAAAGGAAACAGTGATCTCAACTCTAAATAATCATATTTGTTTTTTATTGCAGTGGAATCAATTGCAAAGTTTATGTCATGGCTGTACCGTTGTCATCGGTTTCTCATATACTGGAAAATAATGAAGGGGGCTTTGTTCCTATCTAAATGCGAGACTGCGCTCATTCGCTACCTAACATCATTCGCGCTAAAACGATAAGCCGTTTATATCGTAAAATAATGTCACGTTATTTGTCAGCTTGATATGCCCTTGTCAGTAGGCGTTGAACGTAGCCTAGGATTAAGTCTTCGCACTTCCCATCTCTTTGAGTATTGCATTTTTACATCGTCATGCATTGTTCGTCACCTTCACTTCGTTTACAAAGGGACAGTCAGAAGTAATCAACTCCTAGAACGCTTATGATTTGGACTTCTTTAGCCGCATATGGACCTCTGCGGAAGAATTTATAAATCACTAGCTGGCTTACCCGGCTCCGCCGTATCCGGACCAAACTTGGCACACATACACTTCGGGCCCCGGCGCGTGTCACAGTCCACTTTTCGTTATCGATCGATGTCGATTTTACCGATTTTTATCGATTTTTTCGCAGAGTTCACCTAAAGGGCTAGGAGTTGGCACAGGGGGGGAAGTGAGCATGGGGATTCCGAATACAATATTAGTTTTCAGAATTATCGGTTACTTTTATTGATTTTATCGATTTTTTGTAAATTTTGACATGCGAGGCTGGGATTTTGCACAGGGGGGTAATCGAGCATGCTGATTACGAACACAATATTAGTTTTCAGGATCGTCCATTACTTTTATCGATTTTACCGATTTTTTTGTAAAGTTTGACCTGCGGGGCTGGGAGTTTGCACAGGGGGGTAATCGAGCATGCAGATTACGAATACAATATTAGTTTTTGGAATTATCCATTACTTCTATCGATTTTATCGATTTTGCAAAATTTGAGCTAGGGGGCTGGAATTTGGCACAGGGGGTAATCGAGCATGCTGATCACCCCCTTGGGGATGATCAGCATGCTCGATTACCCCCCTGTGCCAACTCCCAGCCCCCTAGCTCAAACTTTGCAAAAAATCGATAAAATCGATAAAAGTAATCGATAATCCCGAAAACCAATATTGTATTCGGAATCCCCATGCTCGATTACCCCACTGTGCCAACTCCCAGCCCCGTAGCCCAAACTTTGCAAAAAAATCGATAAAATCGATAAAAGTAATCGATAATCCTGAAAACCAATATTGTATTCGGAATCCCCATGCTCGATTACCCCCCTGTGCCAACTCCCAGCCCCGTAGGTGAACTCAGCAAAAAAATCGATAAAAATCGATAAAATCGATATCGATCGATGACGAAAAGTAGCCTATGACACCCGCCGGGGCCCGTAGTGTATGTGTGCCAAGTTTGGTCCGGATCGGTTCAGAAATGGAATTTTCTATTCGGAACATACGTACATACATACATACATACATACAGACAGACATACAGACAGACATACAAACAGACATTCAGCCTCATATATAAGATTTATTAGTCAAAAAAATCTGTGTAACTCTACAATTTCTGACTTACGTAAACTTGATCATATATTAGATTGTGTAATTCTGTCCCACTTTTCTTTTTTTTCCTCAGTATTTTCCCGGTGTTTTGCAAGACGTATATATGCTTTGTAAGCTTAAAGTCTGTTCTGCAAACTCGTATGGTCATCCATTGAATTAGCATAAAAATGAGAAAGAATTTTGGCATGAAGTCAGAAAATCCGAATAGGCGAAAAGAACCATTTTCGACATTTTTTTATTCGTCACTTTTTATTGGTAGAATATTTTCAACAAGCTTGACAACAAACAGAACAACCTAGTAGACTTCTGTTGGTTCTGCCACTGTTTGTGCTTGTTGTCTTCCTTCTACCAATATTTCAATGTCATTTCAAAAGACTTCGAAACAAGGCTTTGTCGGACGTTCGTCGTCCCACGTACCCAAACTGTTCGACCGTTTCAAATTGAATTTTTAAATTATTAACCTATGAATTGAATGTTTATAGCCACCCCCCTTCTGTCTTTTTTAGATTATCCGTATACCGTCCTTCTTAACGAATGCCTTCAGACGGCCGTAGTCAACGTTGAATAGACGTTAGAAAGAAGACTTTCTAAAGTCTAGAAGTAATTCTTGAAACATTTTAGCACTCCTGAAGCGGTGCAGAGGCTATAGTATTTTTTGCTCACGGCTACATTTTTCGACCTGTTTCGTACCATTCTCTTATTTGGGGGACATAAGTTGTTGAAGTTGTCGAAATTGTATTCTTTTCCGCTTTGCTTTCCAATTTGTGGAAAACTTTTTAAAATTCTGATGAAAGAAACTGAAGCGAAAATTTTGGTAGAGCAGGTTTAGAGCTTTCTCATGCAAATATAATGTGCAAAGCATTGTGCAAAATTTTGAAAAAATCAGAAGAAGAAATGGGACAGAACTTTTCACACAACCTAATACATAGTTCCAGTGTGCATCCATTAAAGCTTATTTGTGTTTTAAGTATCCACTAAGCTAAGCGTAAGATTATGTTTAATTTCTGCACACCATCTCTGCAATAAAATTCCTTAAAACTTCGTCTACGGAAGTTTTTGACATATAGTTATGGCAATTTTGGAAGTGAATCTAACAAAATTCTTGTTTTTCACGTCATTAGCAGTATTTTTAGCTATTTATGGTGGAAAGCTATGGCATACAACTTGTTTTTCAATGTACACGCTATTGGGTAATACAGAATTGTGTATTAATTTTGTGTAATATTATTGTGCAACGAATAATCGTTTTCAATTGATTTAAGCACTGCATAGCTTGCACTGGACCGTGGTGGTTGCACATGGGGCGGCTTAGGCGAGCCTTGATAGCTCTAATGATGAAAGGTGCCCTAGCTCTACGTTCGCACTAGTGCGAACTATACCACCCACCCTCCTCAGGGACTACCTATAATCACTCTGCTATGCATGAAACTTATAAAGAAAATCATGAGCTTGTAGAGACCTTTTCCGCTAAACTGCAGTTATGTCCAGCAACTGACTGCGATTTTGTCCGTGGCTGCTAAATTATTCAGTCAATGATAGGCGGATGAAATACGGTTAGTTACACATTTGCAGCAATGCGTGGCACCATAACGACTTATGCCCCTTACAAGTCCCAAAGAACTACGCTTACCCAATGATCTCGTAAACTTCTTTATCTTATGAAAAAGCTATACGAATTTTTGCGGTCAGTAAGGCCGGGTAAAATTCCTTGAGCAGATTTTGTGCATCTTCTCTTCGGCTGTTTTACATGTTTTAGACTGTTGAGAACATGTATTTGCTTGTTTTGTTATGTGAGAGCCTCATGGGACAAAAAACTCCATTGCTATCGGAAATATGTCCCATCAAGCAGAGCGAGCGCTGCTGAAAATACGAGAGAAGACGAGGCTGACCAACAGATCGCACGATTTTCAAAGTTTCACAGTGCTTTACATCTTTTATCGTATCGCAGTTAAAACTCTGCAAATAACAGCTTAGTCATAACTTAAAGCGTGATTTTGATTCATTTGCACCGTTAATCTAATTTGAAGCCAGGCCTTTGTTATGGTTTGACAATAATTTACAGAAAAGATTGTAACTCATAAGCACATAATATGATTATTTTTGACATCATACTATGCTATAGGGTATTCAAAAATCGTGGTGATGGCGCGACAGAGGGCCACATACACGCATTTTCGGCAAATGAAATTTTTGATTTTCATCTTCATTGAAAGGTTTTTCTGCTTACGCTCAGACAATCGCCGGGGGAAGGCGGTCCGCAAACTCGCGTTCTTCTGCAGGCGGCCAGCAGAATTTTGGGGCGTGGCCATACCTTCAGCGGGCGGCACTTCCTTTACTGTCTAATATTCTGCCAGCGGGCAGCAACACAGAATTTTCTGCAGGCGCTCGTCAAATAATCTCTTTCAGCGAGCGCCGGTCAAATTTTCAGCTGGCGCTCGGATGGTTTTTGAGCCGTTTCGGGCGTACGCCGAGTAAAGGTGGGACTCTACATGGCAGAGGTGTCATCGATGGTTTAATTACTCAAGTTTGAGGTACTTTCTCTCAGCGGAAAGTACCTAGGGGCTGCGCCCGCCATCAAATCTGTCGTCACTATTTTAAATTGACGCACATATCGAGTCTTCAACAATGCAGGCTGGCCGTAAGCGGCGGAGCACGTACGGCGCGGCTGCTAAAATTTTGCCAGAGCACGATTTGTGCAGTCTTTTTACAGGTACAGGAGTTGGCCATCTTCAGTTGAAGGAATCTATTACCAGTCCGTCCGGTCAACGACTCGGCGGTATATGAACACTGCATACTTATAAAAGCAGAGATAAAGAGAAGCAATTATAAAAATAGATCTGCTATCAGCTGCTTTGAGACACTGCTCAATTAACCATCCCGATCTTAATCAAGTGAAACCTTTCGGCAATCTTTTTGAACAGGTGCTCACCTGCATGGCATTCAAGATGGTAATCCTGTTATGCTCAGACTACCATGTAGCCCTTCACTCAGCTACAGATCTATAATATTTTCTTACTGGACCTCGCATGTTTTTTGTGCGATCTTGTGAATGATGAGGCGCTCGCATTACTTCATGTTAAAGACGCTTTTGAATTTCTATTATTATTACCATTAAGTCTATCAATAACAATAGCGTTGCTTTTGCTCTCTATTCTTATATTGGTGCATAGTCTTCCCTTACTTGCTGCAGCTAACCTTGTATACTCTAGATCGTCATGCAGAGGAGTATGCGAGTTCATCAACTGTCGCTGTTCTGCTGCCTTCTGTTATGCTATACACTAGTACAAGCCCAATTCGGATGGAGATGTGGATATGTGGGAGGATGGTGTGACGAAAGATGGAGGTTTTTTGACCATCCGAATGGTAATTTTTGAGTTTGAGTGACGCTTAATGCATTCTGCGCCAGCGATTCAAATGAAGTGTTCATTGAACAGACACCTAAATCTTATTATCCAACAAACAGCGTTTTATAACGCAAAAGCGATGATACGAAGGGAAAACAGTTATGACTCAGAGTCTGCGCAAAATTTCCGCGACGTTGCTCCGCGCCATTCATCACTTCAGAAGCCAGCTCCGCTCTTGGCGCTAAAAGACTATATGGCGCCGAAAGGGGAGTGCGCGGACATTTGCACCTTTTTACATGTAAGGAAAGCGTATTTGCTACAGCCGTTCGCGCGAAATCTCTACATTTGGCGACAGAATGTACAATGCGTCTAACGGGGTCAAAGCCGCGTAGTGCAGTCACACACCTACCTGCGAGCGCCACAAACTGCAACGTGCAGAGACCATCCCGCGCAAAACGGCGTAGTCCTTGTTCTAGCCAATCCTCCAGCTTTTTTTAAGAGTACAAAGTGCTTGAGGTCTTTCGAAAGAAAATGTAGTCTATACTACAGGGTGTCCCAAAAGTAAGTACACACTATTCAATCGTCAATATCTCTCTTCCCATTGTGTCTTTTTCCGCCATACAAGTACCGTTCTGTGGAGGAGGATTCAACTTAGATTGACAGTATCGAGTAGATCACCGATCTCTCCTCTTTACTGTAGGATTATTGTAGGAACTTCAACGAGGATTTTAGGCCATTGGAAGCCATTTTCTGCCTCGGAACAAAACCAAACAAGCCCAAAACTCTTATACTATGGTAATGGAAGCCGCTGATTTCGAATGTAAAATTTCCACTTTACTGTGACGCTTATTTCCAAACTTATCCCAGGTAAACCGTAACAACCCTACTCCTAATATTCATCAGAAGTGTGATTACACCGTCAAAAAAGATGAAAGAACACGTAAAAAGTTATGTAGTGGGATCAGCGTGCGCGAAAACCTTAGTACACGATTTTTCAGATTTTTTGAAAAGAATATTGTCAGATGGCATATTTCACAATGGTTCCACATGCTGGAAGTTTTTACCGTAATCTTACAGTAACAAAGAGCGGTTGGTGATTCGGTCGATACGGTGAATCTAAGTTGAAGCCTCCTCTACAGAATGGTACTTGACTGGCCAAAAAAGACCTATTGTGAAGAGAGATATTGATGATCGAACAGTGTGTACTTACTTTTGGGACACTCTGTAATATATCTCATTTGAGAACTCTGGGAACGACTGGTAATATCTCCTTGCCGAAGCTGAAGATGAATATCGTAAGGTTCAATCGTATACCGTACTAGCTGCTGTCCCCGGTCCAGCCCGGGCGGAGGGTCTGAATCCCCATAGTGTCCATTTGAAATCATTTATGGCTTACCACTCCTCTTCCCAGTTCATATCATCTCTTCTTTTCCTGCTTCAGCTCCGGCTGAATTGCAGCGCCGCTGTAGCATCCGTAGTGAGATTGCCTTCCTTCTTGACCGCCTCGCTCCGTGACACCGCATCCTCCTCACCGCGAAAGGTAAATGATCTCTACCGCCCCTTACTAAACTTGGAGAAATAAATGATGTAGCTTTCATTTTGCTAAATGTAAGTAAACAAATCAATAAATCGATGGAAGAATCCAGCGAATTGTCGCGAAAAGTAGCCTATCTTCTGCACCTGGCTTGCTTATAGGAGAGAGAATTTTAGCCTCTTCGGTTAACATAGAAAGGAGTCTATAAACCACAAATATCCTAATAAGCAAAGGTGCAGTATTTGAGTTTTATATATATATATATATATATCAGTGGCGTACCGAGGGGGGGGGGCGGGGGGGGCGCGCGCCCCCCCCGAGAACGGGTCGCGAAATTTTTGAAAGTTACTTACATGGGTTATAAAAATGTGCAAGTGACTTGTTTTTACTTGTAAATAATTAAAATAATTTTTAAAATTTTTTAAAAATTCATTTTAGCCTTATAAAAATTTTTTTTTCGGGGGCGTGGCTGACGCCACGCCCCCTTTTTCCGGATTTTAGGGGTCGGGGACCCGGAAAAATTTTGAGAAGCACCCCAAAAAATTTTTCGGAGTGCGTGGCTAACGCCACGCACCTTCTTTAGAAAAAAATTTTTGTCGCGCCCCCCCCCCCCCGAGACGAAATCCTGGGTACGCCACTGATATATATATATATATATATATATATATATATATATATATATATATATATAGGTTGAGATAACAGTTTCAGCAAACACCGTGTTGACGCTGTTCACCCAAGCCTAACGACAAACGATCATTTCAGACAATTGTTGCAGCGACCCGGTCGCCTGACTGGGTCTCGCTGTTGAGCCGCGGCATCTAAATATCAGCCTTACATGCATCAGGCCCAGTAGCGGCCCACAGGTGTGAGTTGGCGACCGGCGCACATAGTTGACGCCATGCTGACGGTAGCCCGCACGCCTGTCTAGGCTCATAATTTCACTGGCGGCCCGCGCACCCATACACACGTATGCCCAAATTAACAGCGACCCGCTCATCCATATAAATTAACGCACGTTGTAAGCACAGGGTTACTCGCGTGAGGTACGACGCAGTAAAAGAGATGCTATCTGAGCTTGCAGGAGGTGTAACACTTGCATTTAGGCTGACAACAGGTTTCCTTATGAGTTGACCGCTGATGGAGTTTCAAATAATCTCGTGTAGTTCGATCAGCAGTGTTAAGCAGGAATGATTTCCACTACTTTTGATTTTACATGGGTCGTATCCACATTTATCCACCTGCGCATACAAGTGCAGCCGAGCAGAAACCCAACCCCAGGGTGGCCATGCTATGCTAGCGCGGGCCAACAAGGCAAAGGAGACATTAAAATACAGGCTGGCCCGCTCGTCCGGGTGACAGGGTCGCTGCACACACTGAAACCGTCGCTGGTCCGCGCTACAATGGCAGGGCAATGCCCGGAACGGGTTTTCGCCCAGCCGCCCATGAGCGCGCGGGTGGCCGCAAAAAATGTCCGAGTGTCATTAAAGAAACGCCCAAAGGTTTGATATCTCATTGCCATTTTTGCTACGAAGAAAATCGCAATCGGAATCAAGGCAGATCGCATATGAGCACAGAAACAGAAAAATCACAATGCCCTGCTACAGAAACGGAAAATGGCGAGATACAAAAACAAAGCCTGCGATGTTACGCGCAGCATGGCCCTTGCACGCTGCGCATATGATAATAGCGCTTGCGCGGATGTATGGCTGCCTATCTCATACTCACATAATCGCGGGGGGCAGGCGGTCCGCAAACTCGCGCTTTTCTGCAGGCGGTCAGCAGAATTTTGGGGCGTGGCCAAACCTTCAGCGGGCGGTACCTTACTGAACGCAGGTAATCGCCGAGGGCAGACAGCCATGCGATTATTGGCGGGCGGGCACCGGAAAAATAGTCCGCTGATTTCTTGCGGTCCGCTTGCAGATATTTGGAAGAATTTTAGCGAAATTTTAGACAAATGTTTGAAGAACTATCGCGGTTTTCTTGTAGATTAGCTGCGGCGCAGTGGCCGCATTCTCGCGCTTTCCGCGAGAATACGCAAAATTTTCGGGGGCCGCACGGTCTTTTGTGGAGGACCGGGCAGACCCCAGGTACTTTCCGCTAAGAGAAAGTACCTCAAACTTGAGTAATTAAACCAACGTTGACACCTCTGCCACACAGAGTCTTAACTGTGCTCGACGTACGTCCGAAACTGCTTAAAAAGAGTCCGAGCGGCTGCTGAGAGTTTGACCAGCGCTCGCTGCAAGAGATTATTTGACGAGCGCCCGCAGAAAACTCTGTATTCTGCCCCGCTAGCAAGACATTCAACAGTAAAGGAGGTACCGCTGAAGGTTTGGCCACGCCCCAAAATTCTGCTGATCGCCTGCAGAAAAGCGCGAGTTGGCGGACCGCCTGCCCCCGCGATTATCTGAGTATAAGTGATCAATCCAAACAAGCTGCATACCATTCCACGCAGCATTTAACGCCAATTTCGAATCTGTATTCTAAATCTGCTTATCGCGCTAGTGGACGAGATTATAAGCAGTTTTTTGCGATAAAATCGTGCAAAAAATCACGAAATTGAGCACAATGTTGCAATTCCAGCAGCTTTAGGCTTTAGGAATATGAATATGCTTAATGCTGGCCAAAATAGCTGCATATTTTGGCCAGCATTAAGCCAAAACTCTGTAGTGCCAGTTTTGCGCTTTGCATCCACGATTTTTCAGCAAAACAACGGCTTTTATCGGCTCATAACTTCGCCCACATATGCGCTAAGCAGATATGGAATACAGACTTGGAGTCACGTTTTATGCTGCATCTAATGGTATGCAGCTTGTTTGGATGGTCCACTTCAATTTCTGACATTTCCCTAGTAAGCTTCTTAGGTCTTTAGCAGAAGTACTTTTCCCTGTCGCTGTCAAAAGCTTTACGTCAGGTTACTAGTACTGAAATTGTCCTTCATATCCACATATTCACATAGGAAATTTGTGGCTGGAGAAAATAGGAATAATTATTTTACAAATAAAATTAATTATTATGCAAACGAAAGAGTTTTTCTTAAAGGCAGTGGCTCGGGAAATTCGCGAGTGGGTTTCCACAACTACATGACCTTCTGGGCCAGCTGAGTCAGGTACTGTGATTGAAAAGTCAAAGAAAGTGCTTTGTGGCGTTTTCCGACCTTGGAGACTGCTGGAGAGCAGAGGTGCGATGGGGGGAGCCGGGCCCACCAAAAGTGAAGGTGGCCCTAGCTACCACTGGCCGGCAAAAATTGAAGGTAGGGGGAGAATCGGCTCCCACAATCGCACCTTTGCTGGAGAGGCGGGAAGAGGGATTTCGGTCAACGTATCGTATTGATTGCTTGGGCTGATCAATCAACTGCCACCAAAATAGGTGAAGTTACAGTATTCTGCAGTCACTTGCTGGTTATGGCGGGAATCCCTCGCCCCGCCTCTCCAGCAATCTGCAAGGCCAGTAAACTTCAAAAAACCTTTTTTGACATTTCAAGCACAGTACCTGACTCAGCTGGTCCAGAAGGTCATGCAGGTGTGAAAAGCCCCCAGCCGCGATTTTCCCGAGCCACTTGCCTTTAAAGGCACCGTCCACTCAAATTCTCGAATTCAATGTTTTTGTCGCCTTCAGGCCTTCTGAAAGCCCTGATTCCGAAAATGGAGTCGAAATTCCGCGAGACCCCAAAAATCACTGTTTCGAAAACCCTCTGCAACAAGCGCGGGCGAGAAAGCATGCAGGTGACCATGGTCGCCCCGCCTACTTTGCTACTTCCGGAGCGGATTTCTCGCTCCAGAAGCAGTCTTCTGCGGCGAAGCTTGGAGGTTTGTCTAGTGTGAGGGCCCACACTAATATGCAATCATAATCTCGCCAACCTCCATTTTACGTGGACGGTGCCTTTAAGAATTTCAAAAGTCAGCGTCGTGGCTCGAATCATCCGAGTCTCGTTATATCCGTCAGCGGTACGTCCACACTTCTTTATCACAAGCAAGGCTGCGTCGGAAATCCCTATAGTCAGAAAATCATCCGAAGACTTGTGATAGCTTCCCCATAAAAGGAGAGAGTTTGACTTTGTTGTACGGGTGCCGATCGGGCCCGGCACCAGTCGGTTTTTAGAGTTTCTGAAAACGAATTCTCCCCTGACTTTCGAAAATTTTACGAAGTCGAAAATGTCCTCATGCCAGGGGTAGATTTTGACCTACCTTTAGGAGAAGATGAAGACAATAAAGATTTACTAGTTTGAAAGAAAAAACGTGAGATAAAAGTGCTAATCCAAATTGGAGAAGAATACTACGCATGCACAAGAGTTTGGCATTGGAGCGCGATATATAACAAAGCGATTTATGAGGAAATTAAGGTAAAAAACAAAGAGAAGACAATGATATGAAAATGTCCTCATGCTCAGGGATAGATTTTGACTGTGAAGTCCATGATAGAAAAATCCAAAACTTACGTGAAGTGACAAAAATATATGCTCCAGACGATCTCAGATTGTTTGGTGACCGTCTGGAAACGGACTAATGCGGGAAAAGATAATACCTCACACAAGTTTCCAAATATTTTTGCCTAATTCTTTTGCAAATAACTTTCTATGTATCTTATATATAAAGCTGAATGTCTGTTTGTCTGTCTCTGTCTGTCTGTATGTCTGTACGTCTGTACGTATGTTCCGAATACGAAATTCCATTTCTGAACGGATCCGGACCAAACTTGGCACACATACACTTCGGGCCCCGGCGGATGTCATAGGCTACTTTTCGTCATCGATCGATATCGATTTTATCGATTTTTTGCAAAATTTGAGCTACGGGGTTGGGAGTTGGTACAGGGGGGGGGGGATAATCGAGCATGCTGATTACGAATAAAATAATGACAGGGCCGGGCGGAGCCGGGTAAGCCATCTAGTGCCTTATAATTTTGATGTCATACGATTCTGTGTGCGCTGTAAACAAACAATTTGTTTATTTAGCCTCGCTTTCAAATCGCGCGCACTTTTCGCCATACACGATAGAGCATGTCAATGCGATAACCTGTCCGAAAAGCTTGTGTTAAACTTGGCGCTCATTCTTGGTGCTCGGCCCCGACTCGTCAAAAACGATATTGCCTTTTGCTCCAAAAACGGAGTTCCAGCCTGCTTCCAGACGATTTGTGCCAGGCCCTGGTGCCGATCCGTACCATCAATAAACTGTAATACGGTTTACTGATGGGGCGAATACGGGTCAACAGGGATCAGTGGAGTACAAGCTTCCACGGTCGCAATAAATGTCCATCCCAACGGTTATGAGCCCTCAGTTATACAGTGGACTTACAGTGGCACAATTCTAGATTGAGCGACTTATTGGCGCAAAAGCAGCTGCAAACATCGTTCCATCCACGAGGATTTTGAAGGCAAAAGGATGCCCTTAGTGGAACCATCACGATGGTTCAACCCAGAGACAGTCTTCCATACACTGAAGTGAACACGAATTAGTAATTAGACAGCATTTCCGCTGCGGATGCTTACACTCCGGTGATGTAGACCAGCACCCGCCCTCTTTAGCGCTTTGAAATCTAGCTTTAACACGTTGACGACAGTGCCGCGCAATGGTGCGCGGCGGCCTTAAATCCAATACTATCTATCCAGTCCTCTCAGTTTTTGTTCATATAATCAACATAGGCTCAGATGTACTTCATATATTAGCCCCGCCCCTTTTGGCAAACTCCGCCCGCTTTTATGCCTCTCACACGGATCCTTTTTGTCCACAAAAAGCTGGATGAGGCTGTAGATGAACGCAAAAACTTCAAGCAACTTCTAGCCAGGCCCCGCCCACCGTCAGGCAAGCTCCGCCCCCTGAGTGACAAGCTCCGCCCACTTTTCAAAAGTGGCGGAAATCGCAGAAATTCTTGAAATTTGGGCAATTTCCGACATTTTTGGTCGAGTGGGCGGAGCTTGCCAGAGGGGGCGGGGCTTGCACTCTTTGTACTTCGTGCATGGATGCATGCATACACACATGGGTCACGCGTAGGGATGCATGGAAACGTCTCGTCCACAGGGACAGACCGCAAAAAAATGGCTCGTCGTCAACGTGTTAATGAGAGTTCTCTGATTGCGACAAAAAATCATGGAAGTGATAAAGTTTTTGGCTGTGCCAACCCTTTTGTTTTTGGCTGCCTCCAGTAGCGACGTATTAAACCCGCTGGAAGCGGGATCAGGGCCCGGCACAGATTTAATGGAAGCAGGCTGAACTTTGTTTTGAGACAAAAAGCAAATGGGAAATCGTTTTTGCGTGGTCCGGGAAGAATCCTCGGAAAAAATGTCTACATCATTACTCGCAAAGTATGTGGAGGAAACATGCAGATACAGTGTGCAAGACAATTCAACATACTTCCTGTGGTGCCAAAAGTGACCTTTCAGTCAAGTATAGCTTTCAAGATAGGTTATTACATGATGAGCGTGCTCCATCGTGCCTTGCGAAAAGCGCGCGCGGTTTGAAAGCAAAGCCAGAATCAACAAATTGCTTGTTTACAGTGTAGAGACAAACATATGACACCAAATTTGGAAGGCGTAGAATATAATTTGCGGAAGTATGTAGAGGTCATAAAACTTATGTTAAGTAGCACCTTTTCCATAAATTTCCATACGTTTCCATACGTCCACGATACGATCTGACATCGTATCGTGGACGTGCGGAGCATGTATTTTTGTAAGATTACATAAGTTTTCGATTTTTCTGTCATGGACGGATTCCCCGTTCAAGAATCTTCTCCTGAGCATGAAGACATTTCCATATTGTTGCCTTTCCTTTGTTTCTTTTTTACCTTGATTTCCCATAAAGCACCTTATTAGATAACGCGCTCCAATGTTAAACTAATGTGCACGCGTAGTATTCAGCTCTAATTTGAATTCCCACTCTTATATCACGTCTTTTTCTTCCAGACTAATGACTTTTGTTTGTTTTCGTCTTCTACCGTGTCGATAGGTTTCCGATAAGGATCGAAGGGGGAATTCGTAAATATCGATAGTCAGGGGGGCCTCGTTCCCAGAAACTTAGAAACCGACTCGTGCCGGGACCGCCGCGTACAGATAATCCAGCTGCTGGATTATCTGTACGCGGCGTGAGATACTAGGGGGTCACTGATGTGACACACTTCTCGTTTCTAATTCTCAGTACTTGCTAAAGGTTATTAACTTGCTTTATACCCAGCAGGAAAGACACATCGGTGGTCAAATAGTATATTCACTTTTTCTGTCCCTTTTGTTTATCTCCTTTCACAGTCACTCGACTAATAGATGCGGTCACCATCTTTTCTTCACATTAGTGGCCATGGTCCGAGCTCTTAGAAAACAAAGATTAGAAGAATCGAAAAAGTTCAAGGATTTTTCAAAATTTCGCTCGTGTGTGACACGAAATCGACAGGAAAAGCTCATGTACACATTCAAGAAAAACTATCCAAAATTCTTCTCAGCGGTTACGACGTCGCATAGATGTCATTAAACACTGCCTTTTCAAAGCTATCACACCATAAGCAATTCGATGAATTTGAATTTTTAGCTTCTTGTAATAAGTAGTGAATCAATAACTTGATTTCCATTCATATTACCGATTTACATGATAGCTGTGAGAATTATTAGATGTTCATGTCTTGATTTCGATCATCATGCGCAAAAGGAAGATGTGGATACTAGAACCTCTGCGAAGAAGAGTTAGTGCATTGGTTTCGTAATGAAAGAAACACCCGAAAATGGATAACATAAGCTCGAATCTCTGAAGCTAACACGACGTGAAATTTCCATTTAATGATGAGATACCCCTTTCGGCATGGTGTTTATGCATTCCTAAAGCTTGTAGAGATGGTGAAATGAAAAAGTGCAGCAGAAATTATATTCAGTAAATGAAACAAAGTTCAGTTTGACTTTCCAAAAGTAATGTTCCAGGGTTCCGATCCAAGGCCCTTATGATGGCTGCTCTTGCAAGGTCCGTTAGGGCCAACGTTGATGCAGAATGACAGAGTAAGTTTGGGCGTTGCTGATCATGCTTTTACTGTAATCAGGTATTCAGCACTCAATCAAAAGCAGTGCAGTGTCAGGAGGACTTCTAGCATCCGACTTTGATCTCTTCATGCAAACCCAGATGATTGATCTGATGGTAGAGTAAATGTTTTATGGTGTAAAGCGTCCAATATATCCGAGACAGTGTTCACACCAATTGTTATTGTTTGAATTAGAGCGAGTAGTCTGAAAGCACATCAACATGGTGAAATGCATAAGTATCTCACATCAGCCACCCACTTTATTTTTGGGAGGAACACTAAATAAGAGAAGTTGCTAGTTTTCCCAGCAACGTACAGGAATAGCATTCCAAATAATAGGGAGTTCAAATGGAATGTCTTATTAGAGTGCTTCAAAACCATACAACATAAGAAAGTATTTGCACGTTACAGGGAAAAACGGTAAAGAATTTTTTACTGACAAGTGCTACACACGTTTGCAGCACAAAGTAAATGGTATGAAATAATGTCGCTATTTGATAGTTTCGGTCTTAGACTCGCCAAAGTTGAATACTCCGTATAATGTGTCCGGTGACAATTGAACTGCGACGCATATAAAGATCAGAAATGGTTTTGAATTTTTGGTTGTAAATAATTTAAAATTGTATCTCATCGTTTGACGGCGGCTACCAGGTAAGGATAGCTGCTATCCGTGGTCATTCGTATAGGCTTTGTTTCAACAGGTTGTCACTTCATCCCCTCCCCTCCCCCCCCCCCCCCCAAACAAGAGCAAATTAGTGCTGCCGCGTTCTGCTTCAAAGCTGACGACGTGATTGAAGTGGATAAATAAGCATTGTGCTTACAAGGAAGCGGTTTAGTTGAAGTAGCCTTTCCAGTTCAGTTCTATACTATTTTTAAGAGCATTAAACGCTGATTTAGAATATGTTTTTTTATCTGCCAGTCGCTTCTAGACGCCTAGTCATTGGTTTTTAAAGCGAAAAGTGAGCGCGGAATCTATGTAAAAACTGTAACTACTATCTTTTTAACTCTCAAAGTATTGTTGAGCGTGAGCGTATCAGATTGAAGTTACCAATCATTGAATGACTTGCTCTGATAATTATCACCTGATCATTTGACAACTCTGGACGATTTTGTCTCAGTGCGCAGCCAAGTTTTGACTCAAAAACGCTCACAACTCGGCTTTCAGGTGCGCTTGGCAGGTAATGAAGACAGATTCAGAATCACCGGTCAATGTTCTACAAAGTGATACAGGACTCAACTGGAAAGGCTACTTCGTCTAAAAACGCTTGCCTCGTTAGATACTGGTTATTCTTCAACACAAGCAATTTTTATAACTCGGAACTGACAGGAGAAAAACCATATAAAGTGCAAAGAAAGATGGTTTCTTTAATACAGCCTCAAATTAGCGTGATCACACATTCTTTCTGTTGAAAACGCCCCAAAATCTGGGTAAGCCCAGCGGCGGGTCTCTATTCCAACATAGATCATTGCCAATCCATAACTTTCTGTTTTGCAAACATGGAGGGCGTCTCTCCAACCACATCGTTGATGCGGTTGGTACTGTTCTAAACGAAACTTGTAAATTAGACTGGTTATCCTGGCTTCAGAGCGTCACTCAAAGGAATCAAGAAATTATAATTTTTTTGATCGCTGGGATATTTTAGAAAGCAGATGGGACAAACAGCACTTTTTAATCTGTAACGTCCTCAAAAAGATCAAAGACAAAATAGAAAACCTCTCTAAGACCAAAAAGAGAAATCTATTTTGACTTTTTGGGAAGCATCATGACTTGTTTTCATACCAAGCAGCTACGGTTGCAGTAGTGTTCAATAGAACTCACTCCCCTGTATGGCGAGAGAGCCGCCCTCCCTGCAGTAGTCACTTGGTGAACAATTTTGATCTTGAACTGGAGCAGGCCAGTAGCGATATAGTACGGATCTACCCTTAATCAGTTTACGCATACTCCGCGAATTAGACCAAGCACCCGCGACTGGCTGCTAAACTACAAACCACACCAAAAGCTGTTTTAGTGCACTCTTTCAAACGCTATAAATAAGTAAATAAGTAAAAATGTCCAACAAACATATCTCCAATAGTCTGCAGACAGAGCCTCAAAAGTGAAGGTTGTCTAGAGAAAACTTAGTAAGGAAAATATGTGAAGTAAATAGCAAAAGTAAACGACTGTAGAGAATCGTGTAAAAACGCAGCAATAAGTTCGAACTGTTTCGCTCAAGGCAGTGTCCACGCAAATCTTGGCACATAGTCTTTTCGCTTAAAAACTGACGAGGGGGTACTAATTCAGGCACTGCAAGGGTAGCGCAAATGACTCGTTCACGGCTGAGAAATCCGTCCTGAACCCTCAGCGCCTGCGCCGACACCGTAACCCGAAAGTAAGTTCGCTCACATTAACACTACGTTACTGGAACCCATCCTAAGTCACTCGCGAGTTTCGGTCACGGCGCAGGCGTGGAGGGTTTGAGGACGAATTTCTCAGCCGTGAACAAATTATTTGCTCTGCCTCTTGGGCAGTGTTGGTACTTTAGTTAGAATCCCCTCAAAGTTCTCATGCGGAAAACCCATGTGTCCAAGTCTGCCTGGACGCTGCCTTCAATATTGTGTGCTCGCACTGTAGGTGAAATGCGGTAGAATTTGCGCTGAACAGATAACCGTGCCAGTTAGGCCGGCATTTTGCGCGCAAATGGGCAACGTCACAAGCGTAGCTAATTGTTCATGCACAACTTTTACCGCATTTTACCTGCAGTGCAAGCACGCTATATTAAGCGAAAAATCTACTCTCATGCTCTCGCAAAATTTCAGTTGCGCGGCGCGTGGTCCGGTCCGCAACGTTTATGCATTCCGTCCGTTCAATGAATTGACGATAATAGTGGCGGACGGATAAGGTCGATTACCACAAGATGCACACCCTCAAAGGAGCTTGGAGAGCTGATTTCAAATTGTCTTCCATTTAGAACACCTTTGAAAAGCAAGTCATGGGCAATTATATCATCAAAATTTGCATGGCTTTGAGTAACTACAAATAGTCGAAATCGTTCAAATTGCTTCCTGCGCTTTGGGAAGCATTTAAAAAGGGATCATCACGTCAAGATGGATAAGCTGTTCTAAGTAGGTTTGAATCCAAAATGCTTAGGTATTGGTAATTCCGGCCACTCTCAGCCGTGCAAGTTGCCCGCAAATAAAAGTCCAAAACTTGCTTGCCAAAGCGTTTTCCATGGAAGGTAAATTTGTCAGCTCTTCAAGCTCTTTGTGGCGATATGCATCTTGTAGTGATTGGCCACTTCGACCCTGCGATCCACCCTCTTAGAACTGTGTCAACGGTTCCTTTTCTGCACGGGCAACGTACCCGCAACGTGAAATATATCCGTCTCTGGCACTTTTGAGGACTTGATCGCTCTAAATCTCAAGATGACTTCCATGTTCTAGCTAAAAGTCTATGCAGCTACAAGCACAAGGATGTGTTTGGAGATAAAACGATAGAAATAAAGCAATTACAGAAATGTTGTTTCGGATGCGATGATTTCCTGCCGAATCATCACTAGACAAATTTATACGTCGAACTGCTATATTTGGGCTTCACTCTGAAATTATTACATTGGGTTTCTGCTCGCAAATCACAATAAAGATCTTCAAGTTTCTTAAATCGGAATTTGAAAACTTATGAAGTAAGAAATGAAGTGAAAGAGCTTGAGTACAGGTTCGAGTACAATGAAATGGAAAGGAAATACATGTTGACGACGGCATTTCAAATTTCAGTGTCCTGTGCTCAGCACTTTTCAAAGATCATGCGCTCTCACGCAAAAGTACGGAGGATTTGAAAAGACTATTTTTTTCTTTGAAAACCAAACTTTATCGTATTGCATGCATAAAACGGCAACCGGCATATTTTGCCGGTTTTTGGTATGATCTGTTTATTTAGAAGAGAAATGATGAAGTATTCCAATTGAGAATACGAAGTACCTATCATTCTCCTCGCAACAGGAATCAGCAACCAACCAAAAATCTTATTATACAGTCTCAAAAAATGCCCCAACTTTCTGATTGTTTGTTGATAACTCTTTTGCTCCACTGAATTTCTCCACTCTCAAGGACCATTCTGCAAAGCTGGCAACTTAGATTTACACTATGGATCAGATTATCGGTCTTTATTATGAATTACGTTAGCCGCATATGGCCCCATTATTTTTATTTGAACATTGAAACGTTGTAGAACAAGTTTTACCGCATGCTGATTTCAATACTTAAAGGCACCGTCCACCCAAAGTGGGGTCTATGAGATTTCAATGTCTAACAGTTGCGGGGCCTTCAACTGTATAACTGCCCAAATCGCGCAGTTTGAAGTTACTTCCAAAGCGAGAAAATCGCTTCGAAATTCCTTCGGAAGACGGATTCGCCACGTTGACTCCTCCCTAGCAAGTGGGCGGTACGTTCGTCCCGCCCACTCAGTAATATCGCCTAGCACGTGCAAAGATCAATAAATCGATCGAATCGTGCAAGAGGGCGTCTGTGCCCTGCGATGGGCCTGCAGCTGACCCGCGGCTGACTGGTAGCAAGGAGTGCTCGTCTACTGCGGATTCTGGAGGGCATCTGAAATTCAGTAATTTGTTTTATTCCTGGGTTCGGACTCAGCGGGCGCAAGGGTGCTAAAAAGGAAAAAAACTCAAAATCGAGGATTTGGGTGGACGGCGCCTTTCAATTTTCGGAGCTTTCTAGGTTTTAAACCACGTTTTCGAGGAACCTGAACGGTTGCTACGGCTAGGTTACTACCCTCTTGCGACTGTTTAGAATTGGCGACTCTGTTCAACCCAGTGCGTCAGCTTATTTGCCTATCTTTAAGGTAAAATATGGCCTATGACGACTCATCCTCTTCAAAGTGCCCATTATTCTTACAGTGATGAATAGAGATAGGTAATCCACTAGACATATTGCACACATCTCCAAAATGTTATCTCAACCGCGGCGAAAGACGATTGAGCAAGAATGTAATCGACACATCAAACCGCAGAAACATTTGGGACATATTTCACATATCTTACAGTCTACTCCAATAAGAGCAAGCCGATTTCGATATCACGTTTTGACAGTGTTAGTCGTAATACAAGTTTTATTACAAACTTTCACGTTTTGTTATGAAGACTCCCCATT